CACACACACACACACACACACACACACACACACACACACACACACACCATACACGTGTGCGCGTGCGCGCATATATTGTACATATTATTATGAATGCGATTATCTATTTTAACTAAAATATGCGATAATTTCTTTGCATGTTAAATATTGTTTGATAGACCGAGTTGTTCTGGTTAACACGAAAGGAATGGTACGCAAGCCATAACAGGTAGCGGAAGTGTGTTGCTGTCGAAAGCGACTGTAATTACGCGTAACGATAGCGCTTACGTAATGCATATTTAAGTCGAGCGGCGGTCGGTGGCGATGTTGCGGGAATTCAAAGGAAATGGCACTGTTTTCTGTTGTTGCATAATTTTTCGATATGAACGGCATTGAGATTACATAATGCCCTTTGTTCATTTCATTCATTTACGTAAAGTAAAAATGTAAAGTAAAATTGTAGCCTTATACTGTATCATTATGGCGGTTTACGCGAATCTAAGGACTTATTTTTATCACTATATCAAAATGTTATTTATATATTAAAATTTAATTTCTAAGATTTATTATAATATTGATCAATTAGTATCTATTATGTATTTTTAATAATTAACTTATAAAATTATTTTTTATATACTGATTTCTGTAAATAAACAAAGTATTAAAAATTCTTTAAAAGATTTACATATTTTCGAAAATAAATTATTAAAATCACATTTTTAATATTGTAATGATAATACAAAAAATATTTTACCTTCCGAAAATAATCGATAAGGAGAATTAATATGAATTACAACTTTAAGAGTTGTTCGCTCGATGGTAGCACAAGTCAAGTTTTCTGTTTAAATAAGGTCAGAATCTTTGTTGAATAGCGTATATATAATGTAATTTGTTAAAATTTGAAAAACAGAATAAGAAAATCATTAATATTTTATATTACTTAATTATACAAATACACGCACACACATAACGCGCGTACGTGCGATCTATGAATATTAATCTTATGGTTCCTGCACACATTTAAGTTGTGAAAAAATTTTGGTTATAAAGTCATAAGCAAATCGACCAACCAGAGTTCGCTTCTCCTCACGGTCCAAATATAGTCGACTGTGATTGGTCAATTTGCTTCGTCTTACGATTACGACTAAAATTTGTTTACGTGTAAATCCTGGTCTACAATAGATGATTTAAACCTTAAACCATAAGAAATGGACGAATCATAGTCGAAGAATAGGAAAATAATCGATATGATTGGTCAATTCTTATGACTTAAGGACACCGTAGTAACCATAAGCTTAAGGCCATAAGTGATCATGTCCAATTGATCAAACGAGACTCTCCTGATTGATCAAGGGTGCTTTCCATTTAGTGACACAAGTATCATTTTGTCCTTGTTAATCATTGAAAGCCAAGAAAGATAGAACGATACTTGTGTCGACTTGTGTCACTAAATGGAAAGCATCCCAATTCTCTTTCTGTCGAGATCATGAACACGAAGCTTTACACTGGTCATGCTTTTCTTTTTACATAAGACTCTAATCTATGTTTCCTATATGCTTATAGGTGAAATCAAGGTGACTGCCATTTTATCGAGTGCGTGAAAATGCTGTCGATTTCGTTTATTTTACTTATTAGTGAGTAAATTAATACATTTGTAATAGTGTAATTCGCGATCTTCTCGCTAGAATGACGCAGTTTCTGCCGCCGAATCTGCTGGCATTGTTTTCGCCACGTGAGCCGATTCAGTATCTGCCACCGGCCAGCAAGCTTCCGCATGAGAAGAAAAACGGTGGTTACACCGGCGTTGGGAGCTTCCTCAAATATTTTGAGGTAAAGAAGATGCCCTCTTTCGGAGCGGATATATAAATATATAAATTAATTATAAATTAATTTGTATATATTTGTACAGTATAAAATACATTCAAATAAAGTACTTGTTTTTGTAAGATAAAAGGAGTTATATTTTATACATTTAATGTAAACAATATCAAAATTAAAATTAACCTGTTTTTCTTACTATTTTATACTCTGTTTTGTTGTTTAGGTACATTTTATTTTTTATTTCACTAATATTTTTCAATGAGATAAAGGTATATTCTTTTTTTATAGGATCCTAAGGATACTCCGCCACCTGTGCGTGTAGAGACTCGAGAAGAACGTCTTGAGCGTAGACGAAGAGAACGAGCAGAACAAGTTGCATATAAACTCGAACAAGAAATTGCAGTATGGGATCCAGCTGGTATCTCTAATGTTACAGCAGATCCTTTTAAGACTCTGTTTGTAGCTCGAATTGTAAGTAATATTTATAGTACTGAACAAGTATGTAATTAATTCATTACATGATTAAGCTATTATTTAGAGTACAATGAATCATAATTGTCCTTACTTTTATTTTTATAGAATTATGACACCTCAGAATCCAAGCTGAGAAGAGAATTTGAAGTATATGGACCGGTAAAAAAGGTAAGTGTCTTTTTTTAAAAAAACATGGATCTATTTTTACAATTCAATAAAAGTAGTGTGGCTTTATATTTTTGTATATTGTACCTTTTTACAGATTGTGGTAACGCATAATACAATTAATGGCAAGCCTAGAGGATATGCTTTCATTGAATATGAGCACGAAAGAGATATGCACTGTAAGTAGCAACAAGTCGGAAAGGTGAAAGAAAAAGTGCTACCCTTGTCGCGAAGCTCAATGAGCCTCATATAGTCTGGAATATCATCTTACTTAGCGTCACTTCCAGCTAGATTGTGGGGGCAGGGCTATAGTTAGGCTACTCATTTTCATTGGTCATCACTTAAACTAGACGGTACCGTTTGGGAGGGGGGGGTCCCGCCATACGCACACCCATGCAGGAATACCGTTCTGTAAATGCATAAATATGGTAAAAGCGAAACAAACGAACAAACAAAAACAAAACGAAGCAAACGTTTATTGGCTATCTTTGATTAATGCAGTTTTTATCTTGTTCTTGGTACAGCGTGGTGGCCGCTGCCGGCAACTAGTGCCGTTCACTATTCCATGCAAAATCCCTGAACCTGCCTGATAAGATAGGTTTGTATGTGTGGTAAGATCCAACATACAACAACGTTTGTTAGCGTCTACTTGCTTATCCTATTTATCGTGTCTGATTTTGTCAAGCGATACGCGATTTCGATGGAATTACAAACGGGCGTCTATGATTGACACCTGCCAAACTCTTTACGGGGATTTTCGGATTCGGGAATTTTGGGCGTTTTTTTCTCTTAGAACATGCCCCGTTAAAACTTCATGGATTCGTGGATCTGTGGATTCTAGGATTTGCGCAACTACAATCGGCTCGTAGAATCTATGGGTTGTAAAAATTCGCGGACATTAGTATCTACGGATTCAAGAATCGCGTGAAAGTTAGCATTCTACATTGAAATTGATTGGTGGGCTTTTAGGACAAAGGTTCAGGGACACACATTACCTATTTTTTTTTGAGCGAATACAATGAACACATATAGATCAGAATATTTTGCACTTATTTCTCATTCCATAAACACAAATAACAGATTATCTCAACAATTGATATAACTATTAATTCTGTGGCTTGAAGGTAGAAAGATTGAGATGTATGTAAACACAGATGTTTATTTCTGCCTTCTTGTCGTAGAATGGCATTAGTTTTATGATAGCATTATGATGTATCCTAAAATAGGATAAAGGTACATCCGGCGGTATGTATCGTTGTACATTTACATGAATCATGCAATTAGCCCACGCGCTTTTTTAATCATTTTTATCAGATTCATTTTCGGATTTTATTTGTTTATTATAATTCACATATAGTAGACTTTCGAAAATACTAATTTTTAATGATAGGCTCGAGACTGCGTCAAATGCGTAAAATATAGGGATTAAATTTTTGGAAAATTGCGCTATTGCCATTATCAATAACAATTGAACACACATGTATAATTTTCTCGATTAGAATACGTGAAAATAGTTTATTGATAGATGTAAATATGAAATTTGCATGAAAATCCAAAATGGAGAATACAGCAAAATATGTGATAAGATTATCAGTTTAAATGCTGTTATAGTTCAAGGATATTTGTTGGAAAAAATAATTTTAAGATTTAAAATATAAGTCCTTGAACATATCAATTTCGATATAGAATACTAATTTCTTTTATTCCGCATCGGTCTTTTGTTTCGCGATGTCATTTTTTTTTTTTAAACATATGATCTCGGATAACGCAATACTTGCGGATTGTAGAATCGTTGGATCCTAATTTTCTGAATCGATGAGTCTGGCTTTCGTTGACTTAAAAATTTTTTCGAGATATCCAAAAACTCTAGAATTCCGTAGGCCTCGATTTACAAAGTTGGATTTCCGGATCTACGATTGTGCAGTATATAACGTGGCAAATAAAACCGACCGATAAAAACTACTTCCTCTCCCTCGAGTCAGGGAGATATCAAGTTTTAGCGTGGAGCGAACAACAGGCACATTTGCCTTTAACATTATGCTAAATGTAACTTACTGTAGTTCATTGTAACACGTATCATTAAGTATATACGAAACATGCGCACGGTTTGGTCGTAAGTAAAATGAAATAAAAGCGCACCAGGTAAATGCAATGTAAACCTCTTCGGAGATTGAACGAACGAACGAACGAACGAACGTATGAAGACTGGGCATCTTCGCAATGAGTAGTCTCCTCGCGAGTCTCTTACGAGTTCATTTCACGATTAGACCGTACCTCTAAGCTTTGTGTTAACTTCCGTACGTAAGTAGCCGCGGTAGGTATTTTTGATTTGCTTATACTTTTTTGGATCTTAAACAAGTAGTTTTAAGCTGCTTTAAAATCCGGAGCATCTCTTGCCTCTGATCGTCGTGCAGTCGCGGGTTTGCGATGCGTCCCCGTTTTACATCGTAAAATGAATGTAACGACATTGAATTTTTGAGAAAAAAATTGAGTATATTTGCGAATTTTTTGGGAAAAAGTAATATTTGCTAGAAAAGAAAAAGAAAAGATCTTACCTCTCCTTTAATTATTTAACATATGATATACGCATATGAAAATATAAAATGTAATTTCGCAATTTTTATTAAATCGGTTTTTTAATTAAAAGTCAATTTCCGAATTTATAAGGAAACGTTCAATTATTATTATGAAATGTTGATAAATATTTCTTTTTTGTTTTTAAAGAAATTTGTATCAATTCTATATAAGATATGAAAAAAAATTTTTTTTTTCATAATTTGTAAAAGTATGATATACTTATATTTTACCGAACAATAGATATTACTATTGTTAACAACTAACAATAGCTTTTCATTTTACCTAGTAAAACGACACACGTTGGCAAGCGGATTTGTGCACGATCGGCTGCAGCTCGTATCATTACCTCGTTATTCCCAATTATTCCTGGATTGTCAACAGTCACATAATTTGATTGATCCTGCTGCGTCGACGATTGCAGCGATCGATGATTGAAATGGAAAATATTTCCTCAACTTTAACAAGAATACTTCTTAAGATACCCTGCAAGAGAGCGTAATGTCATTACTGACATTCGAGATTTCGTGAATCTCGCTCAGTTCTAGGATCTATCGTTCTTTCATGCGACTACCATTCGCATTCCTTATCCTACGATGTTGCGAGCAAAATTCAGTCGATTCTTCTCCTTTCTTCTTCTTACGATTCCCCTGTTCGAACAGATATCGAATATTTCTTTGAGAAAGGATCTGCGGAACCGAACGATCCTGTGAGTCTAATAACTTGCAGATAATTTGCAAATCGAAGCATGTATTTGGGAACTTTTCAGTCCTAGGATTGACAGGTCTATTTTTTATGAATTCTAGAATTCACAGGTTCTCGAAATCACGGATATATTAGAAATTCCGCAAGTTCGGATAGTCCGTGAATCCGAGGATCTGTGTCGAGACCCAGTTCCAGTTGGTTTTTTGTATTTTTTTTTTTTTCGAGTTCCGTAGATCCGAAAGTTATTGGATCACAGAATCTAAGGATTCTAGAAACTATCTCTTCGAAGCTCCGTGAGTCTTGGAATGTGTAATTCGGAAAACATTTGAAAGCATATGGATTCGAGGATCAGTGGCTCGGAGATATTGTAAGAGTCTTCACTTGTGAATAAATGATTCTCGAATCCAACGCCCGATTCCAGAATGTCCAGACAATTTAGGATCTTGATGTCGGCCGATTCCAGGATCTGCAGTCCCAGGAATCATCCCATGTTAGGTTTTTCGAAGTTCGCCCTTTCGTTGGGATGTAGACGCCGTAGACATAATCATTTAGGCGCATTGATTCGCTGGCGAACAGTAATTTCTGATCGGTATCTTTTAGCTGCATATAAGCATGCGGATGGTAAGAAAATAGATGGTCGCAGAGTGTTGGTCGATGTCGAGCGGGCGAGAACGGTGAAGGGTTGGCTACCTCGAAGACTCGGCGGTGGTCTGGGTGGTACTCGTAGGGGTGGCCCCGACGTCAACATCAAACACTCGGGACGGGAAGATAATGAACGGGAACGGGAACGATATCGCTTGGAACGTGAGAGAGAGACTTCGGGACGTGGCCTGGATAGAGACAGGTGAGTAACGGAGGAATGGATAACAAGAACCCTGAAAGAAATTAAAAATGTAAAAATTGTTTCTAATTATTTGTAATTTGTATTTTAGAGATCGTGATCGTTTGGATAGAGAACGTCGCAGATCGCGCGATCGCAAACGAAGAACTAGAAGCAGATCGCGCGAACGCAGGCGCAGGCGTAGTCGCGATCGATTACCAGATCCCGATATCGAAGAGATCGAACGGCCACGCGACAGAAGGGATCGTGACCGCGATCGCGATCGAGATCGCAAGAGGCGGCGGTCACGAAGTAATGACCGTGATCGTGATAGAGATCGTAAGCGAGACAAACGGGAGAGAGATCGTGACCGTAGGGACAGAAAGGATCGTAACGATCGTCAAGACGAGGATACAAAAGAGATTCGTATTAAGGAAGAGCCCTTGGATGGTATGATTTGATAAAGAGACAAATTTCAACATGATGTTTTAAAAAAGATCAACGTAAGAATGTATTAAATTATCTTTCAGATTATCCCGACTACAGCAATACATTCGCGACGTCGGGCTCATACTTCACCGCAGTCAAGTACGAAGACGATAACGATCAGGAGGTGGAAGAGAAATACCGGATTCCAGAGGGTCGCCCCGACCCACCTCCGTATAACAATTACGATTCCGTACAAGATTATTGATCTCGAGCAGTACATGTTTTCGTTGTGTCTCTTTTTTCACAATAGGCCACTGTCGCCGCATTTTATGGTTATTGTCTCTACTATTAGCGCAATACTGACTCTTTTAAAAGTGATCCAATTTGAACATTCTTCAATTATATAAAATCTGAAGAATTATTGTATTGTAAAAGAATTACTCAAGTTCTGTAAAACGTCTAATTTATAGGACTTTCAAAATATGATAAATATGTAATTACTCTTACAAATACAAATGAAAAAAACAGAAAGGGAAAGATTTAATAATAAAGTTTTGATGTAAAAAGTCATTGAAAAAAAATTAGATATATTGCTATATATATTTATGTTATGCAATATAAGAATGACTGGTAAATTTGATATAATAAATGGCTGGTAATGTACAAATTGCTTCATCGTTTCTTATAATATCTTTCTTATGATTAAATTATAAGAAGTTTACGAAAATTATACATAGTTGAAATTAATTGTACCAGTTTATTTAAAATATTATCTATTATTTTTTCCTCTTATCATTGATCAGATTATATTTGACATAAAATCTTTGACGTGTATTTTAATGAATTATTATAAGAACAATTGAGATTGTAGCAAATCATGCAAAAATTCGTGGCAAAAAGCACGCGTGTTTCAATCTATTACTAAAAACTTGTGTAATTTAAGTATCGGCATAACTACATATATACATATACATATATATATCAAGGTTCATATACTACCAGCCTCCTTAGGACAAACTACACATTTTGACTCATGATTGCTACATGTATATTTATATGTTCGAATAAATAAAATATGAAATTAACATTTGTTACATATATCCTGTCTTTGTTTTCCACAACAGAAATTATTCGAATATCTTAATTTTCTATCGAAATAAAGTTTGATTTCCAAGTGTAATGCAAAGAGAAGGATAATATCAGCTCGTGAAATAAAATGCAATTTTGATTTTATACATCGCTCTGCAATTCTGAATTGATTCGTATGAGTTTGATTGCTTGATAGGCCCGATCGCCACGCAAGCGTCAACTTTCGCCAGCGACACAAAAGCACGGTCGATTAATGCAGTTTAGTTAGAACGAATAAAATAGCAGGAAATAAAATTATTTTTCTTATATTTTTTCCTAAATATAATTTTTAAACGAAAATCGTTTATCATCATCTTATATAGTTTTATTATTGCAGCACACATTCTATTATTGCCACATTTGTTTAATCCAATTATATACTTTTTTTTATTAGAAATGTATATTAGCAGTTTTTGTTTCATATAAATTGAGACAATGTTTTAATTTGTTTATTTATTACTTTAAATATCTAAATAAACATATTAATTTCTGATATTAACATATTTATTAAGAATTTTTATTACAAGAAGGACATTTCATCATTAAATGAAATAATATATAATGTCGTTTCTTCAATTAATTCCCATTACAAATTTCTTATCACGTATGCGCGATATTCCTACTAACTGCCTGATATGGACATTAGCGATCATCTTCCGGAAATTGCAATCTCTTTCCCCTTCCCATCTCTCTTCCTCTTCATGCACTTGTCGAAACTAGCCCTAATCCACTTTCGATCGTTTTTAAAAATCAGTGACAGCAAATTGCTTTCGTATATCGATCCTACAACCAGAACTTTCTCTTAATTCTTTCAGTTATTCTCGGCAGGATTCTCATCACGATTTCTTGATTTCAGTAAATCTTTTTTTTTTAAGTGAATTAGAAAGTGAATTAAGCAGCGAGTTTATTCACTTTCGTCTTCATATCTACGAGAAAAATTTGCAGAAGAAAATTTATTATGAGTTAGATAATAAAAAATAACATAAAAGGAAGAAAAATTTACTTCTTAAAAAAAGAGGTTTTTATTAAATTTAATTTTTTATTAATTACGAAATTTGATGTTAACAAATTGATGTTAAAAGTAACAAGTATTTGTTCTAAACATATTTTGAAAACGTTGTTAAGAGAAAAAGAAAATGATATTTGTCTTATAAATAAATTTACGATATCAATTTTTCTACAGAATGTCTTTCCATACATTGATGGTTAATGGAATAGTGACGTTTCAGAGAGTAGCTCGAGATGATCCCTTAAGATCCGGTAAGCGAAGCGGGTTGATGTTTAGTATTCCGGTGGCGGAAGCGATACCCCCACAGCAGCGTGTAAATTGATATAATATATTGCGCTGATAGAGTTAGTTGAATGTGTGGATGAATAGATAGCAAGATAGTGGGATAGAGCAAGCTGTTAGTGAATATATTATGTATGTAGAATGTTTATAAACTCTACAGACTCTCTTTCGCAGTTTCTATTTTCTTGAAATTTGTATTTATAATAGTAGCAAAGTAAAGTAAAAATCGATATTAAGCATATGGGATATTTATAAGTCCTTTATCTAACGTATATTATCACGGAAAATTTCCTAAGATGATGTTTCGTTATACAAGATATGAGATTGTTGAGAATAAAATAAATAAATTTATTCACATCACTTTTCTTCTATTGAATTTCTATTGAATTTTTTCTTCTATTGAATACGTATATCCACGCGAATATAAGTATTTGTAATAAATAATGACCATTTATAATCCTGCGATTAGTAATAATGCAATGATCGATAGATATTAAGCTACTTATCCTGTTATCCTATTATTCGACAAATATCATTTTTGAGAGTGTATTAAATGAGTACTATTCGTTGGAGTCTGATAAAAGCAGATTTGGATAAAGTTTCGTAAACGGCTTACTTCCGATTTTGATAAAACTTTGTAAAAGCTTTTTTCCGAATTGATATAAAAACTTATTGAAAGATTTTTTTGGCTTTAAGCGGTTAGAAATGAATGATAAAAAATAACTGAAAGAGATCTGTTTCAAATTTTTATATACAAAACAGACATCTGTCAATGAATGTTCAGTTCAGTCAAACGTTCAGTTATTTTTTTTATTACTATTTTTATTACTATTTTAACAAACATGTTATTATTATTATTATTATATGAAAGAAATTATTAATTAAGATTTCGTTAAATATTAATTATTCGGTTAAATATCTATTTTATTTTTTTTTTTCATGTATCATGTCATAACCGAACATCTGATTGAACTATACATTCATTGACAGATGTCTGATAAAGAATTGCCCGATTTACGTAATATCATTTTGTTATATGTATAAACAAATGTGATTAATTAAATGTGTGTTAAATTAAAAAATAATTAATTTATTTAATTAAATGTTAAAGTAAATATTTTATATACAAAACTACAATAAATAGTAATTACACACACACACACACACACACACACACACACACACACACACACACACACACACACACACACACACACACACAACTA